ATATATATATATATATATATATATATGTCTATAGTATTATATATAGTGTCCATACTAATAATTTATTTTATCTTCTCATGTCACAGCTCATTTCATTATAGAATAATACATGGCAGAGTAACTCAGAACCACACCTGGGTAGACTGTTGTAAAACTAACGAGTTTTCCCTCTCCTTTTTACCACATAGTTAAAAGGAGCTCTGGTGGCACTAGGGTTAAATAAAGCATTGGGCTGGTAACCAAAAAGTCTGGCTGTTCAAACCCACCAGCCACTTTGCTGGAGAAAGATGTGACAGTCTGTTTCCATAAAGATTTACAGCATTGGAAACCATATGGGGCTGTTGTAGACTGTCCTGTAGAGTCACTGTGGGTTGGAATTGACTTGATGGTAGTGGTTTGGTTTGGATTTATATGTAAAGGTCATATAATCTTTGTGTGTAGTGCTCCATAGCTAGCACATATCATCTTGCATTTCTGTCATCAAAAATGTTACTCTGAATTTATTTATTAGATTAGGTTTTTTTACTTTCATAGTTTATCTTAATCAGTAGACTATCAAGATACCCAAACATAAGTCTTTCAAGCTATGCTTATGAATTCAAAAAGTAAGATGGATGCGAAGCTATCAGATTTTTTTATGTCATTTATAAGTCATAACTCATATCTCTGGATTTGGAATAAAGGCCTATATTTATTGTGGGAGGCTGTGAGTTTTACAGAGGCTTTATACAGAGGAAGGATCCTGGTGATACAATGGTTACTTAAGCGCTCGGCTGCTGACTGAGGAGTCAGCAGTTTGAACACACCAGCTGCTCTGTGGGAGAAAGATGTGGCAGTTCGCTCAAGATTATAGCTTTGGAAATCCTATGGGACAGTTCTACTCTGTCGTATAGGGTCACTGTGGGTCAAAAGCAACTCAGTGAGAACAGGTTTATATAGATGATTTTAACTCATTTAAAGACTGCAATTTAATATCTTTGTATAATTATTTTTTCCTGCCTCCATTTTCCATAACAGTCCATCATAGTGATTTATGATTTTAGAAACATTTTTTGTATATTACTTTATAATAAACTCATAACAACCCTAACAGAGATTTCAGGGTTTTTTTTGTTTTGTTTTGCTACAAATTTACTATGTCTTTATTCATAAACCTTTGCATTCATCTCTATCTGACACATTCTTAGAGGCATGATTGCTGAAACAAAGAGCATGCACACTTTTAAGGTTTTGATATATATTTCCCAATTTCTACTCATTTTATTCCTACCAAAGTAGAATATTTTTACTATGTTTATTGACTTTTTAAAAAATTGTGGTGTGTATATATATGTGTATGAATATGTATATGAATAAGGAAGACTGAAGAAGAGTTGATGCTTTTGAGTTGTGGTGCTGGCGAAGAATGCTGGAAGTACCATGGACTGCTAAAAGAACTAACAGATCTGTCCTGGAGGAAGTGCAGCCAGAATGCTCCTTGGAAGCAAGAATGGCCAGACTTCGTCTCACCTATTTTGGTCATGTTGTAAGAAGGGACCATTCCCTGGAGAAGGATGTCATGCTTGGTAGGGTGGAGGGTCGACGAAAGAGGGGGAGGCCTTCAACGAGATGGATTGACACGGTGGCTGCGATGATGGGCTCAAGTATAGCAGGGATTATGGGGCTGGCACGGGATCAGGCAGTGTTTCGTTCTGCTGTGCATGGGGTCGCTATGAGTTGGAAACGACTCGACGGCACTTAACAACAACAAATGTATACACACACACACACACACATATATATATATATCAAAACATTTGCCATTTCAACATTTTTTACACATGTAATTCAGTAACATTAATTATGTTCATAATGTGTAACCAGCACTACTGTGCATTTCTGAATTTTTCATCACCCTTAAAAGAATCTCAGTGCCCCTTAAGCAACAACTCCTCTTTTCTCCCTCCCTCCTGCTCCTGTAACCACTAATAAACTTTGATCTCTATACAGTTGCTTTTGTAATTATTTCTTATACATGAGATTATATAATATTTGTCCTTTTATAGTTGACTTATGTCATGCAGCATATTTTCAGAGTTCATGTTGTGGCACGTGTAAGAACTTCATTTCTTTCTCTTTACGACTGAGTATATTCTATTGTTGTATGTACCACATTTTGATTGTTCATTCAGCTGTTGATGAACATTTAGCTTGTTTCCATCTTTTGGTTCTAAGGAACATTGATTATAGATCTGTTTGTCTTGTTGCTTTCAGTTCTTATTGATGTATAGCTAGGAGTGGAATTGCTGGGTGATAATGGTAATTCTATATTTAACTTTTTGGGGAACCGCAAAACTGGCTTGCACACTGCTGCACCAGTTTACTATCCCACCCGCAATGATGAGGGTTCCAGTTTTTCCACATCCTTGCCAGTGACTTTTGTAATCTATTATGAACTGCTTGTTTATGCCCTTTGCTTGTTATTAAAAATATTTAGTCCATCTTTTTAAGTGTTCTTTTTATAGTAATTGTTGGACAGATATGTTACAGAGACATTTTCCCCCCAAGTTTGATGCTTACTTTTGTTTACAGGGCTTTACTTTTTAATTTTGTTTATGATAGGATTTTTTTAATTTAAAAAATAGACATTTAAAATGTTTATTTTATCCAACCTTCCATCTTTTCCTTATTGACTCTTTCTCCTTTTGCTTTTATACTAAAAAAAAGTTCTTCCCTATCCTGTGAGTACATAAATTATCATTAGTAAATGTAGGAGTCTTTTGCTGCTGTTAATATTTTAATTTACTAACCTAACTAAATTTATATAGCTAATTATTTACACTCAGCTTATTGTTATGAACTTATTGAGAAATGGCTTTCTTCCCCTCACTTTCAAACATGGAATTTCTGCTAAATTCTACCTAATGAAGGTTTAATATTACGGGGAAAATTTCTTATCTTCGTTTTGCATTGTTTGGCAAAAGCTAATGACCATTTTAATTTTCCCAATTATAATATTTTTACTCAAAAGTTTAAGAATGAGAATCTAAATCAATATTTATAAATGCCCCATATAGTTCTGGTTTTATGTTTCATTTCCTTCTTAACCTATACACTAACAGAGCACTGGTGATTTGTTTTGCAGAATCCTTGCAGCCTTTTCTGGAAGCCTGTAGCAACACTTTATTTTTCCGTACCTGCTCCGTGCTCCTTCGAACCCCTAAACTTGATCTTCAAATACTAGAAAAGCTCAGTATTATCTTACAGAAACTTTCCAAAATCAAGTAAGAATTTCTTGTTTCTTATATATGTATTTTCTTTGTTGAGAGATGTCTTATTATGCTCATTTACACCTTTCTGCATGCCATACTAGTTCAACTCTGATTATTTAAAAAATAGTAATAATAAAATTCCAATAAACAGATATAGAAAATTGAAATTCATAAATATTAATATTTATTTAAGACCACATACTTACTGACAGACTAAAATTAGAGTGTTAATCTTAGAGTATCTATTTGTTTCTATAGTTCAGTTCAGTTCAATTAACTGTGAGTATACTGGAAGTATAGATATAAAACGAAGAACCATTTTTAGCAACCAACTGATAATGTCAGAAGAAATCATTGCACACTGGTATTCTGAAAATGACAGGTAAAAATAAAGAAGATAGTAATGTTTTTGCAGACCTTTATTTGATCTGCTAAGTGAGTTTAGGAACAGAAAATGAAACAGACAAAAGGATTTAAAATAATTTTAGTAACTGGTCTTATTTTATTAAACTACCACAGGTTTGCTGCTGCCACTAAATTAGATTTTATCATGAAAATCAAGAGCTTTCTTTTTATATTTCCTCTCTCTTCATTCTTCTGAGTTAACATTATTATATCCAGTTTTAAATTAAGGACATAGATTTTAAAAATTTATTTTTGTTTTTGTTGAGAGTAAACACAGCAGAACATAAAGAGTTTCTACATGTACAATTCAGTGACAGTGATTACATTCTTTGAGTTGTGTGACCCTCCTTACCCTCCTTCTCTGAGTTGGTCATCCCCCATTAGCACAAAGCTGCCTAAATTTCCTATCTAATCTTTTGAGTTGCTGTTGTCAATTTGATCCCACATAGATAAATCTTAAAAGAGCACAGTATTCAAGGCAAACATTCTTTATTAACTAAGTTAAACTATTGTTGGATTTTAAGAAAACTTCAGGGGAGCTTAGTTTAAGTTTTAAAGTTTGTCTCAGGGTAATAGTTTCAGGGATCATCTAGTCTCCATGGCTCCAGGAAGTCTGGGTTCCATGACAATTTGAAATTCTGTTCTGTGATTTCTCCCTTTTGATCAGGATTCTTTTGTAGAATATTTGAGCAAAATTAGGGATGTAGATTTTAATGCCAGACCTCAGTATACCTAGAATAGTAAATATCGTGTATCTGAAATCATTTGTAAATGTATGATTGTTGTTGTTGTTGTTGTTATTTGCCATCGAGTCGGCCCCGACTCATAGCGACCCCTCCTTGGGTTTCCGAGGCAGTATCACTACGGAAGTAGGAATGCCCACCTTCCTTCCGAGGAATAACTCCGTATGTTATAGTTGGTACCATGCCTAGATCACTTTAGTAAATTATTGTCAAATTATAATCTCATACTCACCAAATTAGTAGTTTTGATCTGGTAACAAATAAACTTATAAATTCAATGTCTGTCTTTTCTTACTAATTGTAGTGTGATTTTTTTGATCTGTAATCAGTAAATTCTCAATATGGCCTGTTTAAGTTTGCCCTGTGGTTACATGAAGTGGTAGTCACATCACTTAGATTTAATTCTTTCTTAGTTTTTTAGTTCATGAGATTTTTTAAAAAGTACTCCCAAAGTCCAAGTGTATCTTTAGACCTAAACATTTTACTTTTAGTGATGTGTTTTGTAGCTTTTGTTCATTTTATACTTAAAGAACTATAACAAAGCTTGAGTATGAGGATTGGGAATAAAAAAAAAAAGCCCAAGCTCACTGCCGTTGAGTCAATTCAACTCATAGCGACCCCTCCTTGGATTTCCAAGGTGGTATCTTTATGGAAGTAGATTGCCCAGTTTTCCTTCCAAGGAGTAGCTGGTGGACTTTAACTACCAGCCTTCTGGTTAACAGTCAAATAAATGCCTTAGGCATTATGCCACCTTAGCTCCTGGGATTAGGAATAGTTGATGCTTAAGTCTTAAAATCAATCTTTAAAACCACAAAGATACAAATTCTTTTGCTTTAAATGGATGGCACATAAGGTATTTGATAATCTCGCTCAAAAGGTAAATATACCTAGATAAGTAAGAAAATAATAAATATGTTATAGAATATAATTCTAACTAACTGAAAATGAAATTACTGACTGGTTTTGAGGAAAAAAATGGTTGAAAATTTATTTTGGAAATTAAATCAAAAGATAAAACAATATTCTGCCACTTTAAAAAGTCCAACTTACTTAAAATAAGATGATTAATTATTTGCTTCTTTTTTGGTCTGTGGAAAAAAATTTCTCAAACTCTGTCATAGTGAACAGGATAGACAGAATTGATACCCAATGCAGTTTATAGGATTATGAAACTGTTCCTTTTTTCTCTAATGCTTTTCCACCTCAGGCCTATCATAAAAACCATTTTTGTTTGCCTCTATATCATAATCCTTTACTCACCCATTTCGGCCACTATTTAAAAAAAAAAAAACCATTTCCTCACACTTATACCTAAATTATCTCTTTGTCATTACAGATAAACTCCTTCAGTGTATGTAATTAAATGAACGTGTTCATTCTCTTTCAGGAGTAATAAGAAGCTCTTTGAACTCTTTACAATTCATCTGATGCTGCAAGAAATACAAAGGACAACACATCCAGAGCATGCCTTTCTCTGTATTAACCTAAATTCAACTCTGTTCAATTTGGGTTTAACAAAATGCAACTCCCTGGTCTCCAATGCAAGCCATTAGATTGGCTTGTTGTTATTATTTTTTTAAAATATATATTATAGATGTGTTGCTTATTTTTAAAACTGTAAAAAATCACCAAAGTAACTAAAATTTTACCAAGTAAAGTTATCGGTAGCATCATTTATCATGAAAGATACAGAGTTTTTTTTTTCCTTCTAAAACTTTAAAAATGAAATCTATAGCAGCTATAGAATGTTTAGAATGTTTCCATTTAACTAAAGGCAGTACTAATGTACAAGACAGAAGACAGCAGTTCTAGAATTAGTGACATTTAATGACACTGGGGTAACTTTTTGTATAAGTATTTTAGAAAAGTTTCTTGTAAAATTATGTGATTATTTGGAATAAAATTGGTGTATATGTGGGAACATGGTTAGATTATGTTGTCATTCTGTTGTCTTAAAATATTAGAATCCCCCTTTTAGAAATGAAAGTTATCTATTTGTAACTCTATTGCTGTCATAACATTCCTATATTTCCTAGATTCCAAAATGTTAATTTTTTTTTTTTTTAATTTTTGCTGTTTGTGGAGTACTTTAGGGGAAAACTCAACTTTTTTTCCTACTTTTATTTTTTCAAAATAATCTTTAATGCATGCATATTGCTATCATATCAGTGGAGCTTCCAGACTAAGATGGAGTATTAAGAAAAACCTGGCGATCTACTTCCAAAAATCAGCCAAAAAAAAAATCCTGTGGATCACTGTGGTCCAATCTGCAACCAGTCATGGGGCTGGGACAGGATCATGCTATGTTTCATTCTGTGTGCTTAGGGTCTCTATAAGTCAGGAGCCAACTTGATTGCAGCTAACAACACGATGACATGTATACTGACATTTGTATAATGTAGAAACAGAAAAATAAAAAAAAATCATAGTTCTACCACCAGAGATAACTTGCTATAGCCAAAGATGAGTAAAGTGACCAGAGAGATCTGGGTGAGGTAGAGGTAATGAAACATAGAATTTAGGACAGAACACTGAAGGAACATTATCCTGAAGACTCCTAGTGTATAATTTTGGTTCAGAATCCAGAAGAAAGTTTCATGTAGTTATTTGGTCTCTTCAAAAGAATATAAGAAAGCATGCCCTTATGAACCAGAAGCAGAAAGCCATAGGAAAGAACAGTCTGAGGTCAATAAGGAAAAGCTTATGGAAACCCAAAAGTGCAGAAACAAACAAAAATGCACATTGGAAATAAAAAATAACATGATTGATATTTCAGAAAGTAGATTCAATGTTATAAAAACAAAGGAGAGGATCTCTCAGAACTCAGAGTATGTAGAAATAGTACCAAGACGAGAGTGGGTGGCAGATAGTAGGAGAGTGATTGATACTTAAGCATGGGGGTATATGTTTTGAGAGGAGAAAACAGAACATGTGAAGCAGAAGCAGTATTCAAAGATATAGCTGAATAAGTATTTTGGGAACTTAAGAAAGACCTGTATGTACATATTGAAAGGGCTCTGTAATTAGTGCCATTCTGGCAAAAAGATTAAAATGTAATAATAGATGAAAAAACAAACAAAAACTAGTTACCTATAAGAGAAGGAAAACCAAACTGGCTTTATGGAATGCCAAAAGTTAATAGAGAACCCAAGTTTTAGAGGGAAAACTTTTTTAACTCAACAACTTATATGTACTGATGATGCTTTTCATAGGTGAAGACAAGGGAAAGACATTTTCAGACATTGTTGTTGTTGTTAAGTGCCATCGAGTCTTTTCCAACTCATAGCGACCCTATGCACAGCAGAACGAAACACTGCCCGATCCCACGCCAGCCCCACAATCCATGCTATACTTGAGCCCATCATCACAGCCACCATGCCAATCCATCTCGTTGAAGGCCTCCCCCTCTTTCGTCGACACCCCACTCTACCAAGCATGACATCCTTCTCCAGGGAATGGTCCCTTCTTACAACATGACCAAAATAGGTGAGACGAAGTCTGGCCATTCTTGCTTCCAAGGA